GGCTTTGTCCGCGGCACGTGCCCGGGGGAAGCGCCTGCTGGTCCCGAGGGAGCCCCCCCGGGCTAGGTCGCAAGACCCGGGCGTCCCCCCCCTCCCCCGGCAGGGACAGGCCTCACGTGCCCGCCCCTTCTCCTTGCTGCAGGACGGGCAGACCTTCACCTACCGCCCCGCCCGGGGGTTGGCTGTGGGAGACCCGCGCTCCGCCGCCGCCGGCTGGGCCTTTCCCTTCCCGGGCGTGCTCCTGCTGGAGGATTTCCTCAGCCGCGCCGAGGAGGCCGAGCTGGTTCGGGCGATGGACCAGGATCCCTGGAAGCCGTCCCAGTCTGGCCGCAGGAAGCAGGTGCTTTGGGGAAAGCCGGCTCTTTCTACCACCTGGTCTCCTTTGGGGAAGGAGAGGTGCTCACCCTCACGTGCTTCTGCTCACGTTTCCATTGCCCGCTGCCTAAAGGAGATCCTAGAACCTGCTCCGTCTCCCCCCGACCCACATCGGGCATTAGCCGTATCCAGCCAGGCTCACTGTTCCAGGGCTGGGCGCTGCGTCTCGCCCTGCGCGTGTGGTTGAAGTGTTATTTCCCACTTGACGTGTGAAAGAACCAAACGGTAGGGAATGAATACCACTTTCATCGAATCGTGTTATTCTGACTTGCCCTAGCGAGGCAGGGGCTGCTCCCAGGAATCCCGACTTTCCCAAGGATAGGAACGACTTTGCTTTTTACTTATCGGGACCTGTTTTTCCTTTTCACCAGGACTACGGACCCAAAGTGAACTTCAAGAAGCAGAAGCTGAGGGCGGGCTGTTTCATCGGCTTGCCCAGCTTTAGCCAGGATATTGTGAAGAGGATGAAGGCTCATCCTATACTAGAAGGTTTCTTACCTGTTGAGCAGTGTAACCTGGATTATCTTCCTGAAAGAGGGTCTGCCATTGACCCACACTTTGATGACTGGTGGCTTTGGGGAGAGCGACTGGTTAGCTTAAACTTACTCTCAAAAACCGTGCTATCCATGTCCTGCGAGTCAGAGAACAGCATCCAGTTATTTGCTACTCCCCGTCAAGAAAGTGAGAAATCAGATCAAACTGGATCACCTCAAACTTCTCAGAACTGTAAAAACAATAACTTTATTCCCACGTCAGCTTGTGAAAATTCAGACAACTGGGACGTTGACCATACAACTCCCACAAAGCTTGTTCCTTGTAAAGAGGTGACTGTTGCTGTTCACTTACCTAGACGCTCCCTGGTTGTGCTGTATGGCGCTGCACGGTACAAGTGGAAACATGCAATTCACCGCAAGCATATTGAGCATCGTCGGGTCTGCATCACCTTTAGGGAGCTGTCTACAGAGTTCGGTTTGGGAGGAAAGCATGAAAAACTGGGTAAAGAACTGCTGGACATAGCTCTTTCATTTCAGGGAAAACCAGTATGACCAAGAAAAAGGCTGGAGTGATACTTGGTTTGGATATTCAGAAATCAATATTCAAAATTTTTATGATTAATTTTATTTGGAGCGGAAGGCGTATACGAATATTGGGTCAAATGGAAACGTTAACAAATGCAGTGACGAGAGGGGCTCTCGTTATACTAAATAACCTTTCCCTGGTAAGAACCCAGCCATTACTGTTAGCTCTTGGATGAACATCAGGAAATGGCTATTGCGTGTTTTGTCTATAATGTGATGAAATGCAGAAAGAAAGAAAAAAGTATACTGCAAACATTTAAAACATGCCCTTAACTCTGGAAGGAAATCTGGAAGGAAGCTAGGGATCTTCAAATGATTTACAGTTTGAGACTGTCTCTATAATTAGTCTCAATATTTTTTATAAGGCAATTCAAAACCTCCAAATAAACACATAGCTTCAAGCAGAAAGACTGCCTGGTCTTTAAGCTTTTGGGATCATGTTACACACTTTTTTTTCCCCTGCCTGGATTAGTAGCAAAAGAAAAATAATGCCTCTTCCTGGGAGGACAAAATAGTTCATTCATTTAATAAAGTACTCCCTCCATCTTTGGCTGCAAGTCAGCCCAACTCAAGGCACAGATTCTAACCTCTACTTGAAGCCAGTTTGAGGTTCTACATTTAGAGCTGTACCTTAGGTTCATAACTGTCTCCTTGCTTGTTTTACGTGGTTCCTTTAAAGACCAGCTGTCTAGGGAAGAAGGTAGACAAGCATCCATCCACAGTCACTATTTTGTGCAGAGAGCTAATTAAAGCACAGCTTACATTTTTAGCAAAGGAAAAGTAATAGCAAGGATTAATTATAAATACCGTGTATGACCTACATCTTCTGGGACCTCAGAGCAGCATTTGCAGCAGGCTGACGTGGACTTTTCCAACGACAGCTTGGACAGAGTTCAGATACTCAAGACGTCCAAGAAGATTGTGTTCTTTTCTGATCCTCTGTAATTTCTGAGCCCTGCTGCTAATCACAGTTATGGGAGTATCATTTCAAGAATGAGTAAAGAGACAGACAGCAGCACTAAGGCCTAACTGTTTTTTCTTACACAGTCAAGATGGCAGAACTGCAGTGTAGAAACCAGCTTTTCCTACAACTGACAAATTAGCTTGGTCAGGGGCATGAAGAGGTCAGAGCCCAAATAGATATAGCTGTGCCAGCAGAAGCCTTTAGTGCAAAATCATCAACCTAACTGAGCTTTTACTAAGATAAGATTGTTTTCATCAGAGAACATACATGCACATGCGGGGATAAAAAGCAGTTTGGCTGATATAACCTCACTATGCAAAAAGAATTGTGCTGGTATAATAAACCAGCATTTTTATAGTGGTGACATGCTCTTAGACTAGTTATAGCCACTTGTATAAAATTGTTTGCTGCCAAAAAATGACACACAAGTGAAAAGGATTCAATTATCCAATATATTTAATCAGCTTGAGTTTACAGATGCAACCATAGTTCTGTTAATACTTGCAATGAACCAGGGTCAATTTACTCAAATATTTAAAAAGAAATATACAAGTGACATGTTAACTCTTAAATTTATTATCATGTGTTAAATGTACATTGACGGAAATCAAACTCCACGTAAGCTTTGAAAGCATGTCCTGCTGTTCAGACATACTGACAACAGAGCATCATCTACACGCTGGCAGCAGGTAAAGTTTATCCTCCACAAGACTGCCCATGGCAGGAGACAATATACTGAATTCAGATCAGTCACTTCATGATAGCAGTTTGCAGCTGATATCACTGGAAATGCAGCACGTATGAGATTTACTTACTGCAGCCATGTTTTAGTTAAAAAAAAACAACAGCTCTGAAATTACTATTTTTCTAGTCTGCCCTGAAAGCAGGATTCAATAACTTGTGCTCTTAAATTAGAGGTTCCCAACCCTTTCTGATCAACATACCAATTTAGACTAACTTTATCTGTAATGCTCGTACCCGCTGCCAGTTTTGCATTAGTGCAGAGTGCTTTATCTCAAGATGAATCTTGAGACATTCTAAGCCCCAGCTCCATCTTGATTTAGAGCATATTCATTTGACCAGCAGCCTTCTGTAGCTCAGTACAAAGGCTCATAAAGTTAGAGAGCCTGGAACACCCGCTGTATGGGAACCGCTATTATAAATCGGCCTGCTTGGCTTCAGTAGTTAGCCCCTGCCATAATAAGCTGCAATAGAAAGAGTATTTACATTAATGTTTGGTCCTTATTTTCAGTCTCAAACTTTTTCCCTTTAATTTTCGTTCAGTCTTCTGACTCTATTCTTAAAATATTTTGTATTATCTTGTTAATCTCTCAAATAATGAAACCAGATGGCTTCAAAAAAGATGTAATCCCTAAACAAGACAAATAATGGGACGTATTACAGTTGATACTGTGCTATTTATTAGCTGTGTTTTCAGCTACAATATAAAGGAGGACAATGTCCAAGCCCAGAAGAACATAGAGATTGCAGAGACTTGGAATAATTAGGTTTTTAGAAGTGCAAATTCTTGTATTCCAAATAAAAAAACCCAAAGAGAGTACCGTATTTCCATCATCCAGTTTTACAGATACCAAAGTTTCACTTGGTCACTGTTTGCTGCCATACCTTAGCATATACTTTTCTTTAAGTAAACTATGACTTGGACACCTCTTTAAGAGCGCCCCAAAAGGTCAACACTCACCATTTTTATAGCATCAGTAACACATACAGTGGCTCTGTTTTAATTGGTCAGAAGCATATGCATGTTCTTTCCTAAAAAGGCAGAATGGCAGCATTATAGGACATTAATAAGAGTTTTTTTCTGGATTATCAGGTATTAGGGAGATCTGTGGAAAGTACAAAAAGATTTTTAATGTGCAACTAAGAGCTGCTTAGAAAATTTTTGGCTACTCAGCTAATGCAGTTAATGTAAAGTATACTTTAATAGTTTAAAATGTAACACTGACTCGTATCATGGCTGTTTATCTTCTTAATGAAGATTAGCAACTTGTAAACACCTTCCACAAACAAGACATCCATTAAAATTCAGTGACTTCCATGTTGGACATTTTGCAAAAGGAAAATTAAAGTTGTTTGACCAAATATGGAAAGGTCTGCTATACGTTTGAACTTGTTTATCCTGTTTCACATAGGATGGGTTCTTTTCAGTTGTACATAGACACACGCACATATACATATTCCATAACATACTTTCCATGCATAGATAAAGCAGAAATAGACAAAGTGCACAATCTGTTGACTTCAACAGAATTTTTCCTCTGGCACTTAAATGAGTCAACATTCCTCTCTGAATATCAGTGCCTGGAACCAAAACACAGGCAAGTGTTGAACTTCATGCACTGCTATTCATGGCGACGTCTTCTAAATTTAGATGGCTCTCATCATTTAGAGTGTTCATTTTTTAAAAGGATACAAATTAGACTGATATTAAGAAATTAATTAGAAAATAAATGTGCTGGCCTGGTTATGTTGGCATTTGGGGATTGGACTGAGATGGGGAGGGATTTTTGTGGCGCTCTAGCTGGAAGGTATATTGAGGAGTGTCTTTTTGTGACGGCATCAATCTTTTGAGGGAAGGGGGAAGATGTGAATTGGGAACCTTGAGGGCATAGCAACAGGGATATTCCTGACTGGTTTTAAGTCAGGAACTGTAGTCCCAAGTACTGCAAACACGTTAATTGAGCTTAGCAGAAATATATACAATGCTTACAGGTAATGATATGCCCAGAAGTCTTTGCAGGATGTGGGTCTTCACACTGCTTTGCTGAGGTCTGGCATATTTAGTTCCCTTTATTAAAGGAAATTCTCCATATGGAACTAAAATGTAAATGATCCAAATTTAGCTTTGAGGTTCATGCCTATCTCCAAAGCGGGGGAGAGTTCTTATGTTTGTGGCTATTACAGTTTCAGCTGAAAACAGATTCCTATCAGCTTATCAGTAAAAGCTGGTGGCATCATGGGCTTCTTGATTTCCACTGTCTCTCTCAAGCCTTTGGGGGCACTCGTGTGACAGTCACATGCACTGAAGCATCAGTCATACAAAGACTATGTACCCTTACATGAGTGGGAGGCAATACAATCTCAAAATTTTGACTGTGCTTTCAGATAAACATCATGATGACATCAGCTAGGTTGCAATTAAGAAAGGAAGCAAACAAAAAGAAGCAACTTGATGAATTTATTTCCTTCATAACAGTCCCATCTAAGGCATCTCAGCACAAGCTGTCAGCCATCTAGGTTGGACTATTGTGAGAGTCACAGTATCTAGGAAAAAAAAGTCTCCTGCCTGGATAAACTAGTTATTTCACTGTGCACTGGTCCGTTGCTCAGCAACAGTGATCACAATCAATACATTACCCAATATAAGGCTTTTTGGACTAGCTCCCCATTGAAAACAATCCAAATCAGGGCCATTGCTCTGATTTTCAGAGTCCTACATAGTACTAGTCCTGAATCCCTGAGAGATCATTTCTTCTTCTGTGCCAAAGCTATATTTTCACTAGAACTATAATACTGTTAACCAATAGGGATACACTTGTAATGATGGGAGACTGTCCTCAGGACCAGCACCTGTCAAACACTGTACCAAAAGAAATAAGAATAGCCACTAACTTAATTGAATTCAGAGCCAAATTTAAAGCCTGCCACTTCTTCCAAGATTTCCCTCCTAACGCACCTAAAGACTGATTCTTGATGATGGGGAAACAATCCTCTACAGAGTAGGAGATGCCCAGATACCATGGTGAGGAGGGCTCTGTAAGAGCGTAGCTAAACAGCTTTCTTTCCTCTGTAGGGGGAGGAACCCTAGGGGAACAGCAGCCAGCAAGGGAAGCTTTCCTGTTCTGAGGTCTGTGCCTCAGTTCATTCCTAAAAAGGGAGCTGGGAAAGCACTGCCTGACAAGAAACGGGAAGCATGAGGAAGACCAAAACCACAAGTCTCCCACAAGACCAGGGGTGGTGTCCTTTGCAGACACAAAGCCAAGAACAGCTCCTCAGGGCTCAGTTGAAAACTGATGCAAAAAGAAACGAGGGAGAAGGCTGAAGTAGGATGTAGCCCCAAGAATCACGAAGCAGGGCAGCTAGGAGTTAAGGGCAGTCACAGAAGTCTGGGATAGAAGAAGGATAATCAGCTAGATGCAGTGAGGAACATAGGCGCCGACTCCATGGGTGCTCTGGGGTTTAAGCACCCACTGAAAAAAATTAGTGGGTGGCTCAGCACCCAAGAGCTAGATCAGGTAAGCCAGGCTGAA